CCCGCTGCACAAATGAGAAGGGATTGTAGCGGCGAATGATATTTACTGGGTGTATCAGGCGAGACGGGGTTCGATCAACGCGGGGCACTGGATCATCCTCAGTCTCTTTTATTACTTGGGTAGGACTCAAAGTCCGTTTACTCCTCCTTATATGGATAAGAACGCACCGTGGTGTACGGAGCACGCGCCGGACTTCTCACCATGCTCTCAGTACAGATATATCCGGCGAGAAGGGGTTCGACTCCCCGCGGTGCACTAGTTAGGTTCTATCTCTTTTTATTACTTGGGTAGGGCTCAAAATACATTCGCACCTCAAGACTACGCCTGCAGGTATAGAGACGCACCGTGGTGTACGGACCACACGCCGGACTTCTCACCATGCTCTCAGTACATATATATCCGGCGAGACGGGGTTCGACTCCCCGCGGTGCCTTGAGTCCGCTATGACGTCTTTTTTCCTCAACGCATTTGAATCAGCAATAAGTAGCCGAAATCCAGGCTGAATTCTGGGATAGAAAGCACCGTGGTGTACGGAACACGCGCCGGAACTCTAGGCTGGGTCCAGCGGGTTACTCCCCGCGGTGCCTTACCGCTGGAACAATGAATTTTCCCCCTCTCAAATGCAAACTGAGTGACTTAAATGCACGCGGAATTCAAGGATAGGGACGCACCGTGGTGTACGGAACACGCGCCGGACGTGGAGTCAGCGAATGAGTTAGCCAGCCAAAAGTGGTTTGACTCCCCGAGGTGCCTTAGCTCAGGCTATTTCACGTCTTTTTTGTTCGCCCCTACGCATTTGAATCTGAATAACTTCAGTGGAGGTTGAATTCAAGGATAGAAAAGCACTGGTGTACGGAACACACCCCGTGATTGTCGCCGCGGGATCTCAACCGTCAGCCGGCGACGCGGGGTTCGACTCCCCGCGGTGCCTTACATCTGGAGCAACGGAATTTTTTCCCTCTCCAAGGCACTCTGAATAACTGGATTGTTCAATTCAGGGAGATAGAAGCACCGGGGTGTACGGAATACACGCCGGACCTTTTGATCGGGACATTGATAATCGTATCCGGCGAGACGGGGTTCAACTCCCCGCGGTGCCTTAGGTCCTCAACATCTTTTTGTCGTCCCAACACGTTTTAATCAGCGATAAGTAACTTAAATTAAGGTTTGAATTGAAGGACAGAAAGGTACCGTGGTGTACGGAACACGCGCTGAACTTCTTGGGTGAGCAGCAGACCTATATTCGGTGAGACGCGCGGTGCCTTGAATACTCTTCAACGTTTTTTTTTTTCATCCAACGCATTTGAATCAGCAATGAGCAGCGCAAAGTATGGTTGGATTGGAATGGAGAAACGCACCATGGTGTACGGAACACGCTCAGGATATTTGGATGCGTTGCGCTCAGAAGTGTCCGGTGAGATGGGGTTCGACTCCGCGCGGTGCACTGCTGCTATATTTTCCGCATTCCTTTTTTATTATTTTCTGCGCCCTGCCTCGGAATCCACCCACATCCTTAAGACTATGTCCGCAGTTACAGGAGGGCACGGTGGTGTATGGAACACGCACCGTGTTTATAGCTGAGGGATTTTAACCGTTAGCCGGCGAGACGGGGTTCGACTCCCCGCGGTGCCTTGGGTGTGAACAAATGCCTTTTCTTCCCAATACATTTGAATGCGAATAACTTGATCAAGGATGAATTGCAGGGTAGAATGGCACCATGGTGTACGGAACACACGCCGTGATTGTAGCTGTGGTACTAATAACTTCAGCCGGCGAGTTCGACTCCCCGCGGTGCACTGGATCGATCTTCCTCATCTTTTTTATTATTTGGGGTAGGGGTCAAAGTCCATTCATTCCTCAATACCATCCTTACATGTATAAGAATGCACCGCGGTGTATGGAACACACGCCGAACTTCTTGGGTGAGCAGCAGACCTATATTCGGTGAGACGGGGTTCGACTCCCCGCGGTGCCTTGACCACTCGAAGGTCTTTTTTTTTTTACCCCAACGCATTTAAATCTGAGTGCCTCAAATCAGGGTTGAATTCAGGGAGGGCATCGCATCGTGGTGTACGGAACACACGACGTCAGTGTAGCTTGGAAAGGAGAAATTCCAGCCGGTGAGACGGGGTTCGACTCCCCGCGGTGCCTTGATGGCGTAACTTTTTTGCCCCGACCCAATGCATTTTGAATCTGAGAAACCAATGAATTAGGATTAAATTCAAGGATAGGAAAGCACCGTGGTATGTGGAACACGCGACTCGCCGCGGTGCCTTGAGTGTCGAGCAACCGGATTTTTGCGTTAACACATTTGAATGTGAGTAACATATATGAGGGTTGGATCCAAGGAGAGAAAGGCACCGTAGTGTACGGAACACGTACCGGACTTCTAATTGCGTTCTCATCAAGTATATATCCGGTGAGACGGGGTTTGACTCCCCGCGGTGCCTTGGGTGTCGAGCAACCAAATTTTTTGCGCTAACGCATTTGAATCTCACACACTTAAATTAAGGTAGTGAAGGAGAGGAAAGCACTGTGGTGTACGGAACACACGCCGCGACTGTAGCTGGGAATGATCAAAACTTCAGTCGGCGAGACGGGGTTAGACACCCCGCGGTGCCGTAGGCGCTCTTCAACGTCTGTTTTCTCCAATGCATTTGCATCTGAAGAATATAAATTATTGTTGAGTTCAAGGGATAGGAAGGCACCGTGGTGTACGGAACACACGCCACTCCTTTCAAGGGCTTTGGGTTGAAGCGTATCTGGCGAGACGGGGTTCGACTCCCCACGGTGTCTTAGTCGACGTTGTTTTTTCCCCAACGCGTTTGAATGCGAGTCACTTAAATTAAGGTTTTTAAGCCGGCGAGACGGGGTTCGACTCCCCACGGTGCCTTGAGTTGTAGCAGCCGTATTTTTGCGCTAACGCATTTAATGTGAGTAACATAAATGAGGGTTGGATCCAAGGATAGAAAGGCACCGTGGTGTACGGAACACGCGCCGGACGTTTGGGGGCAGAAGATAGTTTGAGCCGGCGAGACGGGGTTCGACTCCCCGCGGTGCCCTGAGTGGTCGTTGTCGGTTTTTGATCCTTTTACACCTTACTCAAATTCCTTTCATCTGGATGCTATCCGCACAGGCATAGAAAGGCACGGTGGTGACGGAACACACGCCGTGATCGTAGTTGTGGTGCTAATAACTTCAGCCGGCGAGACGGGGTTCGACTCCCCGCGGTGCCTTACACGCTGTTCAACGTGTTTTTTCCCCCAATGCATCTGAATGTGAGTAGCATAAATTAAGGTTGAATTGAAGGAGAGAAAAGCATTGATGTACGGAACACACGCCGGACGTTTTGATGGGAGTGTGAATACTTAAGTCGGCGAGACGGGATTCGACTCCCGCGGTGCCTTGAGTTGTAGCAGCCGTATTTTTGCCCTAACACATTTGAATCTCACACACTTAAAATTAAGGTTGAATTCAGGTATAGAAAGGCATCGTGGTGTACGGAACACGCGCCGGACGTTTAGGAGACGGTCCATGATTTGAGCTAGTGAGACGGGGTTCGACTCCCCGCGGTGCCTTGACCACTCCTCGCAGGTCTTTTTGTTTTTTCCCCCCGACGCATTTGAGTTTGAGTGCCTCGAATTAGGGTTGAATTGAAGGAGAGGAACGCATCGTGGTGTACGGAACACGTACCGGACTTCTCACCATGCTCTCAGTACGCATATATCCGGCGCGAAGGGGTTCGACTCCCCGCGGTGCCTTAGCTCTTCGACGTTGTTTTTTCCCCAACGCATTTAAATCTGAGTGCCTCAAATCAGGGCTGAAATCAAGGAGAGAAAGGCACCGTGGTGTACGGAATACGCGCCGGAACTCTAGGCTGGGTCGGCGAGCGGGTTAAGCGGCGAGAAGGGGTTCGACTCCCCGCGGTGCCTTGATGGAGAAACGTGGCGCAACTTTTTTGCCCCGACCCAATGCATTTTGAATCTGAGAAACCAATAAATTCAGGCTGAATTCAGGGATAGAAAAGCACCGTGGTATATGGAACACGCGACTCCGGTGCCTTAGGTTTCGAGCAACCGAATTTTTGCGCTAACGCATTTAAATCCGAGTGCCTCAAATCAGGGTTGAAATCAAGGATAGAAATGCACCGTGGTGTACGGAACACACGCCATCATTGTAGCTGAGGGATTTTTAACCGTTAGCCGGCGAGACGGGGTTTGACTCCCCGAGATGCCTTAGCTCAGGCTATTTCACGTCTTTTTTATTCGCCCCTACGCATTTGAATCGGAATAGCATCAATGAAGGTTGAATTCAGGGATAGAAAGGCACCGTGGTGTACGGAACACGCGCCAGACGTTTGGACTTGGACGAGTGTCCAGTGCCCGGCGAGACGGGGTTCGACTCCCCGCGGTGCACTGCCTTTCGGCCACTTCTTTTATTACTTGCTTGTGGGCGCCGCCTAATAATTGATTCACACCCCAATGCCATCCTCCAAGGCATAGAAAGGCGCCGTGGTGTGCGGACAGCCGCCGGACCTTTAGGCTGAGTCGAACGGGTTACAACTGCGAGAAGGGGTTCGACTCCCCACGGTGCCTTAGGCGCTATTCAACGTTGTTGTTTTCCCCAACGCATTTGAATGTGAGTAACATAAAGTAGTTGAATTCAGGGATAGAAAGGCACCGCGGTGTACGGAACACACGCCGTCAGTGTAGCTGGGGAGTCCGAAAGTCAAGCCGGCGAGAAGCGGTGCCTTAGCTCTTCGACGTTGTTTTTTCTCAACGCATTCGAATCTGAATAATATAAATTAGAGTTGAGCTCCAGGAGAGGAAAGCACCGTGGTGTACGGTGCACATGCCGTGTTTGTAACTGAGGGATTATAACCGTTAACCGGCGAGACGGGGCTCGGCGGTGCACTGGTGTGCTTGATATCCTGTTTATTATTTGTCGGCGCGGCCTCGAAATCCATTCACACCTGAACACCATACTCAGAGCTAAAGGGATGTACCGTGGTGTACGGAACACTCGCCGGAACTCTAGGCTGGGACGAAGCGTTACGGCGAGCCGGGGTTCGACTCCCCGCGGTGCACTAAGGTCTTGGGGTCGTTTTTTTTATCTTTTTGCACTTGCATCTGCGCGGGTTTGCTTGCGCTGGAGCTTCAGTGAACAACGGGTCCCTAGATTTCTTCTATGGGTATTTTGTGGGTATTGTCACTTGCGTTCAACTTCACGTTCTAACCCACGCCTGTCAAACCGCGGGCCGCATTGCCGAGCCCCAATTGGGACGTGATGGCGATCGGGAGGACAATAGGATTTGTGTGATGGCGACGATGAGGACAAAAGACAATGGGACCGACGCGCATATAACAGCGTCGCTGTGTGTGAGCGTCTTGCCCCCTCTCCCCTCCAACTTCAGCTTGCGCTCGTCGCCGTCTGCACCTCCCCTGCGCTCGCGGCCGCCGTGGCGCCGCCCGCGTTTTCCGGACTTATCCGCGTATCATCATACTATCATGGGTCCTGGGAACACGTTCGCCCGCGCGACAGGCGGCAGCCAAGCCGCGGCGTCTACTCCCCTCTGCCCTAACCACTTGCGGAACATGGCCATGGTCTCCAAGGCAGCAGCGCACTTGTTCTTTGCGTCTACATTTGGCGCGCCCTGTGCCCTCCTGCGCCCTTGTCCGCCCCCGTCCTTGTCCGCCCTAGTTGAGGATCTTAGACAAATGTGGGATTCAGGAATTCAGAAGCACAATGGTGTACGGAACACGTGCCGGACCTTTGAGTTTGAACGAGTGCACAGTATCCGGCGAGACGTTCAACTTCTCGCGGTGCGCTAGGTCTTTAGAGCAAATGCCTTTTGATTATTTCTTTATCATTTTGGGCACAGTCGGAATCCTGAATGCCATCATAGGACCGTACCGTGGCACACGGGAAACGCGTAGGAGGCCATCGACCTTCAGACGGCGAGACGGGGGGTTCGAATCCGCACGGTACCTAAGTTTTTCTCCCCGATGCATTGGAATCTGAGCAACGTAAATTCAGGTTGAATTCAAGGATAGAAACGTACCGTTGTGTACCGAACACGCGCCCGACGGGTAGCTCACGGCCAACGCCTTCAGCCGGTGAGACGGGGTTCGGCTCCCCGCGGTCTGCCCAACGCACAATCTTTTTCCCCAACACATTTGAATCGGAATAGCATCAATGAAGGTTGAATTCAGGGATAGGAAAGCACCGTGGTGTAGGGAACACACGCCATCATTGTAACAGAGAGATTTCAACCGTCAGCCGGCGAGCCGGGGTTCGACTCCCCGCGGTGCACTAATTGTGGGGTTTACTACTCTCTTTTTATTGTATTTGGGTCCTGCCAAAATCCTCTCACACCTGAAGACCCGCACTGCAGACCAAGGAACGCAGCGTGGTGTACGGAACACGCGCCGGATGGTTCGGCTTCTACAATGTCACTGTCAAGCCGGCGAGACGGGGTTCGACTCCCCGCGGTGCACTAAAGGCTCTTTCCAGCCCTTCTTTTCTCCGTCTGGGCTCGGCTTCGTTCTCAGATGAGACTCAGTTCCCAGCGCTCTCCACTTTTTTTCCTGTTCCTATGAGTATTTACACCGGTACCCTGTTTCGAGCTCCTCATCCATCGTCCATCGTTCAACTGAATCAACCCGACGCCCGTCAAACCGACGGCCGAACCCAACTCGGAGAGGCGACGGGCAGGCCAAACAAATGGCGCTTGCGCGGCTTGCATCTAATCTAACTCGCTGGGGTTCCGGCTGTCACGTCAGAGGCGCCAGAAAAAGTACTAGTGCCTTGTGTCAGGGTCAGGCAGGGCGCGCCGCCCGCTCACTGTGTCCGCCACACGCGCTCTTCCTGAAAGCTCCACACCCAAATTTAATCGCACACGGGAAGTTCAAGTTCGTTAAACGCTCTGAATCCTTTGATCCATTCCAAGACTCTATCTACCATACAAAATACACGAAGAAATACTGGATAAAAACAATAAATGCGATCCAGAAGGAGGTATAACGAGCGGTAGGCTCCAGGCTGCAAGCTAGGTGGGCGTGTAAAGTGTCAGTGTAAATGTGTGTGCTAAAGATACAGTGGTGCGGGCGCCATCGGCATAGTCATATATGGGGTTAAGAGTAATGAGGGGTTTTGAGAGGAGAGGCTAGACGGCGTCGGCGGCGTCGCGGACGTGCGCCGGCGCGGGCGCGGGGGGGATGGGCGCGTGGTACACGGACGCGCGGTGCAGCGAGGACACCTCGATCTCGTCCGCGTCCGCGTCCGCCTCCACGGGCGTCTGCGGCCGGCTCGGGCCCCCGGCGTCGGACGAGGCAGAGGAGGAGGAGGCGTCCGAGGAGGGGAACGACGACGGCGGGGAGAGGGACGTGGGCGAGGAGTACTCGGGCGGCACCGCGTGCACCGCGTGCATGGGCAGCGTGGGGAGCAGCCCGCCGACGTCGTTCAGGCTCAGGGCGCCGAACGACTTGTCCTTGTCGAACGCCGAGTCGCCGCCAAAGGACTTCTCGCCGTCGACGTACGAGAGGCCCGCGAAGGACGCGGAGACGTCGGAGAAGGACGTGTCCGAGTCGAACGACGCGCGGCTGCGCGCGTCGCGCTTCTGCGACGTCTCCTTGCGGATAAACACGGGGAGCGTCGAGCCCAGTCCCGCAGTCTTCGCGTTGTACTTCGAGCTGCGTCTGCGCGGGTTGTTAGTACACGACGCAATGGAGGAGAGAGGGGAGAGACGCACCCGTTGGAGGACAGCATGCCAGAGGACGTGGTGGCCTGTGAGTACCTCACGCGCTTCGCGACGCTCCAGAACGCGCCGCGGTAGTTCTTGATCGCCTCGTCCGCGAAGCCAAAGTATCCAAAGAACAAGAACGCGCACGTGACCGTCGCCCATCTTGTCGTCTCGAGGCTCGCGACGGTCCACGAGTCACCGCGCCAGAGGAACGCCGGGACCTGCACGACGCGGGAGAAGTTGGAGTGCGTGTCGGCCCAGGAGACCCAAGGGCTGATGCCGACGATGGCGACGTTGGCGTAGAGGACGAAGATGGAGATGGGGATGGTGAGGAAGAGGTCCGTCGAGGCGAGGCACATGAGCCGCACGTAGCGGTTCACGTTGAGGTTGTTGTTCGAGGACAAGAACTCCTTGAACTGCGCGCGCGAGTGGTAGAACGCCTTGATGCTGAGGACTGTGGGCGCGACGTGAGCTGCTGCGTGTTTTCAAAAATAGGAGGGAAACGCACCACAGTAGACAGCGGAGACGAGGCCGACGAGGATGGGCGGGAGGTGGAAGAGGACGATCGCGACGGGCGTCTCGAAAGTCTCGCCGAGGCAGCCGATGTCCTCGAAGATGTTGTAGCGGTGGCCCTGCACGATATATTCTGCGCGCGGGGTGAGTGCGCGGTCAGCGGGAAAGGGCGCACAGAGGGGGATCTGCAGGATGTGGAGCTACGAGATACGAGCTTCAAGTTGAAGCATCTGTCTACGAGAGACTAATGGGGAGCCCGAGCCCGATGGCGAGGTCGATCATGGTCGCCCGGTGTTGGCACCTAAGTATAGTTAGTGGGCTCTGCCGCAAAGCACGCTCCGATTGTTACGGCCAGGACGCGATGCATGGCTCCGGGCGGTCGAATTCACCAGGCAAAAAGACATGGGGCGATAATGGAGGCAGCTTTGATGTTGACGTCCATTGACGTCTCTGCATTTTTGTCGTCCTCGGCAACGCTGCCGAAAACTGGTTACTGTTCAGTATCCAACTTACAACCACCTTCGACAACGATGGAGAAGAGCAAATATTTTTTGGGCTACACTTGGTTGATACCCTGTCCACGATATCCGATTTCAACACGATGGACGAAATTTCGAACATTGCACGTCCCACCGACTCAAGCGAAAGAAGAACAGGCGCCAGCTCCATCATTCCAGAGTTAACCTAACTATCCCGGAGAGGATTAGCACAATGAGCACCCCAATCGCGGTGTGACCCCTTAATGAGCTAGACCTGAGATCCGCTACAGTTTACTTTCTCTGGTAGTTTAAACGCTTACATTCAAAGAGTCGGGTCTGCTCCATGTGCAGTGAGAAGCTTCTCTATTTCTGGCATGTTACCAGCAGATGCAGCTCGTAGCGCTGTGGCGAACTCCCCACCTTCCAATATGATGATGTTAGTAATATCTTTATGAACTCGAAGACTCGGAGCATCTTCACCTCGAACATTCACGTCCGCACCTCTCTCAATAAGCAGTTGTACGACATCGAGGTGTCCAGCATACGATGCTGCTTGGAGGGCCGTTCCGTACTCGCCACCTTCAAGTGCATTAATGGTATGATCTAACGCGCAAGAAACGACCTAACCTAGGGTATTTATGTTGGCCCCTGCCGTAAGAAGCATGTTGACGATCTCTATATCTCCGGACTCCGAGGCCGCTTGGAGGGCCGTCCCGTACCTGCCACCTTTCACAATCATGTGGGGGTAATGCTCTCCGAATGGGAGTTATCCTCACTTAGAATATTTGCGTCTGCCCCGCTCTGAAGGAGCAACTTGACAACCTGCACGTGTCCCGAATCCGAGGCTGCTTGGAGCGCCGTTCCGTATTTCCCCCCTTGTAGTATCGTGTTACTAGCACTTCTCGTAAGTAAAACACGCCCACCTTGGCCGTTCACGTCTGCACCCTTTTCAACAAGGAGTTGCACGATCTCCAGGTGTCCTGAATCGGAGGCTGCTTGGAGCGGGGTCCCGTACTTGCCGCCTTCCAAAATTATCTCAGTTCTAGGTCTTCTGGATCGCACATATCATCACCTTGAAGATTGGGGTCTGCCCCATTGTCAATAAGAAACTTGACAATCTGAAGATGTCCCGAATCCGACGCTGCTTGAAGCGCCGTTCCGTAATCGCCGCCTTCCCATATAAGGTCATTGATAGGTCTCGCGACGGTATAAAAACACCACCTTGACCGTTTACGTCCGCACCCTTCTCAACAAGCAGCTGGACGATGCTCAAATGTCCTGAATCCGACGCCGCTTGCAGTGCCGTGCCGTACGCGCTACTCTCTGGTACCATGTTATTAGCGCGCCATGCCGT